GAGCAGTCACTGGAACAAATAGTCACTTTGTTAACGAGGATGGTGGGCGCATGTAAGTTCGTTCAGTAAGGTTGCGTGTTCGAACTGAAAGAAGTTTTTAATTGATCGCTTGGTAGTTACAAAAGAAGATTGGGAAAAGGTGCCCTCTATTTGGACAAACATTGATCTCAGTGAACCCGCTCTGGGGCATATAGCATCAAGCAAGTTCAGCGCATAGCGAATAAAGCACATAGGGTACGAAATCTGCTATCCACTCCTGACTGACTGGCGGTTTAGCTGCCAGCTATTTGCCATCACTCCACTGATGACCAGTGACAGGTATTCTAGCGGCAGATAAAGGAAGAAAACGCATCATGATCTGAAGCAATGCAAAAAATAAATTCCGTAACCATAGCATGAAAAGGTGACCGGAGACTTACCCGTAAGCGCATGGCCAACAGCCATCATATTTATGGAAAAAATTCGACGTTCCACGTGTCTTATGCGTTCGCAAAGATAAACTATCAGAAGAACGAAGAGCACGACCTGGATTGCCAGGGAAACAGACATAAGCACTTGTATAATGATGAACCAGACTGTCGAAAAATCAGTAAAAAATGTGAGGGCTTACATGGAACAAGCTCTGCGAATATCTTTGAATAATATGGAGAAAGTATCCACCAACAGTCGAAATAGGATACCATCCCTTGATCAACACGTTCCATGAAGCCTTTGAGACAGAACTCCCATAAACCGAGCCTCAGAAAAGGTGTGTGAAGTCTTGACCACGACTGGAGCCAGTACGGCGTCACGAATGAGAGTAGAATTAAACCAAACGTAACAAACGAAATAACACATCCAAAGTAGTGTCGCCATTCGCTGAACGGTGTGTGCCTTATCCGATACTTTACTCGCATTCGCACGGAAGCTTATTTCAAATTCGCGCGTAGGCCTATGTAAATAAAAACTGATGCAATTCACTTACACAACAGGTTGCTGTTCACGTAAAGGATACCAGCATTTGGTCTTCCATTGTAAGTCCCCCCCTAAAGCCCACATTTAGCTGTAATAATCACAGTAAAGCTGCGGATTAAGAGGCGCGTGTGTATAAAGGTGCCCATTATCCGCACAATGCTCTCAGCTGCAAAACCTTCGCAAGTGGATTAAAGCTTCATACTCCGAAATGCTGCATTTTGTAGCGCATGTGCTCAAACCAAAAACCGTCCTTTTCTATCTACACATTTTTGCAGCTCACCAAATTTCATTGTTCACTGAATCAACCAGGCCTCTGTGTGAGAAGTCTTGTGGGACAATTTCCCAGCTTCGCTGAGACTCCGACCCTAGGTTGACCCTAGTTTTGACTGATAATCCCCACTCAGTTGCCCGATTGCTTCAGTTCATCAAGACGACGTCATAAATTTCGGAAATTCAATTCCACTGTGCGGATGCTGGGCGCCGTGTATAAGGAACCAGCCATCTGTTTGGTTTGAACACCACTGATAGATTACCGGTTCTCCGTATGATTCGGTTAAGTCTGTTTTCTGATTCATTATTCTGGCAGATTATTCCATAATGAGGAGAATGGGGCCGGACGGTACTTCTAATAGTGATTGGCTTCGAACGCTTTAATGGAGCCTGTGCCTGTGAAGCCAATTAGATCAGCTGTGGTTTGCAGAGTATGGCAAACAACAAGTGATATGAAGGTGAGATGCATGAATGGCCCAGCCTCAGACACCTAACAACCGTCATTCTCTATGTTTACCACCCTCGAGGGCAGTCCGACGTTCCCCGAGATTTTGAAAAACGAATTTTTCTCCAACCCTGTTGATTAAGACTGTAGGTTCTTGGTTATCCGCCACGGTGGGCGCCGTTATTGAATCANGGACAATTTCCCAGCTTCGCTGAGACTCCGATCCTAGGTAAGGCCCAAGTTTTGACTGTTAATCCCCACTCAGTTGCCCAATTGCTTCGGTCCATCAAGACCACGTCATAACTTTCGGAAATTCAATTTCACTGTGCGAATGCTGGGCGCCGTGTATAAGCCACCAGCCGTTTGTGTGGTTTGCACACCATTGATAGAATAACGGTTCTCCGTATGATTCGGTTAATTCTGTTTTCATTTTTCTGGCAGATTATTCCATAATGAGGAGGATGGGACAGGACGGTACTTCTAAAAGTGATGGGCTTCAAACGCTTTAATGACGCCTGTGCCTATGATGCCAATTAAATAAGCTGTAGTTTAGAGAGTAAGGCAAACAACAAGTGATATGAAGGTGGGATGCATGAATGGCCCAGCCTCAGACATTTAACAACCATCATTCTCTATGTTTACCACCCTCGATGGCAGTCTGACGTTCCCCGGGATTTTGAAAAACACATTTTTCTCTAATCTGTGTTGATTAAGGCTGTTGGATACCCGTCGAAAGGCTTCGGGGACGGTTGGACGAGATGAGCCTGTAGACATATCACAATAAATGGTTCCGGATTGGAGGGGTAGGGGAATTGAAGAGAATTGAAATGAAGGGAAGGATAGAATGGGCAAAAAATTAGGATCAATATTTTGAAGGTTAGCTAGTTTGGCTAGGTCCAACTGCGTGGAAGGGTGAAAAGCGCTGATGTCAGGACGGGATAGGGCACCTGCGACAACATTGTCCGAACCTGGAGTGTACCGAATATCGGTAGTGAACTGTGAAATATAATCGAGATGACGTATCTCGCGTGCTGAATATCGATCAGGCTTGGCATATAAGGCATAGGTGAGTGGCTTATGGTCGGTTTGAATGGTAAACTATCTACCCTGTAACAAAGATTGTGAATATTTCGCGACCAAAAGTCCTCTAACGCGTTTGCTCAGCCCGCATGTCCTGTGGGAAAATGCTGGTGGTTCAGATTGGTTGTTAACAACCTGAGGAATTACGGCGCCGACGGCAGCGTTCAAAGCATCAGTTGTCAAAATTAGCTCTGTGCTCTCGTGAGGATCGATGAAAGACAACTTTGTAGCGTGAGCAACGGCTTGCTAGGCGCTTTCGAAAGCGGCAATGGCGGCAGGGAGCAAAGTAACAGATTCTTCTTTGGAGCCAAGTAAATCGGTCAGTGGCTAAAAGATATCTGCACGATGAGAGATCACTCCCCGATAGTAGTTGATGATACCAACGAAACGACGAATTTGGGTATGGGAAAAGACTCTAGGGCCAAAATCGATCGGGTAATGCTGAACTACCTGTGGCCTCATTGTGGTGGCCAAAAAAATCCAGGCTAGTAACACCGAATAAGCATTTGTCAATGTTGTAAGTGAAAAAACGTTCAAACACTGCTCTGAGATCAGTTGCATGTCCAGTTTGGGAGATGCTTGCGACTAAAACGTCGTCAAGTTAGGCATACACAAATGGCTAGCCATGTAAATCTTCGTCCATGAAAAGTTGAAACATTTGGGCTGCATTTCGAAGACCAACTAGCATACGCGTGAATTCGAAAAGGTCAAAAGGTGTTGTGATGTCTGTTTTAGGAACGTCACCCGGGGTTGCGGGTATGTGGCAGTAGGCTCGTACTAGATCGAGTTTGGAGATGTTTGTGTGGAATTAAGGTACTGGTGAAATCGTGGATATGCGGGATGGGATACCTGTCTGGGATAGTAGCGTTATTGAGAGAGCATTAATCTCCACATGGTCTCCAACCACCTTTTGACTTGTTGGGTAACTTATGTAGGGGCGATAACCAATGACTCGATGAAAGGCGGATGATGCCGAGTTCGAGCATGTGTTCGAACTCGTGTTTTGTGATTTGTAGCTTATCCGGATGAAGTCGGCTGTGGTTTGCATAGACAGGTGGATCTCTCGTCTAGACGTGGTGAACGACCGAGTGAGTGACCAGTTGGGTGTATTGAAATAGATGAGCAAGGGTTGGAAAATTCCTAAGTATGGCAGCAAAATGTGAATCAGTTAAGATGACCCATATACCTGTGGATGAAGTTGGGGCGCTAAATCTGTTGACTGAGAGGGAAGTGAGCGTATCCACGAGAAGTTTGTATCGCACGTCGACAGATAGATTGTAATGGGTCAGGATTTCTGCACCGATGACTGGTGTTTGGACGTCGGCCATAAGGAAAGTCCACTTGAATGCACGTCACACTCCGAGTTCAAGGGAGAGGGAACGCTCGCCATAGCGATGCGGGTACCGTTAGTGGCTTGTAAGGAGGAAGAAGATAAATCGGGAGGTGGATCACTGGGCAAAAGAAACAAAATTACGACGACCTGAAAGTTAAAGCTTTCAAAAAATATCTAGAAATACTCGGGCTCACCAAATTTGCAGTGGTCTGGCTACGCAATAAGTTAGTTTACCAGGAGTGTGTGGCAAAGAAATATAAATAATAACGCTACGTTGTGTATGCAAAACTAAAGAGGTCAGATGGAACAGACACACTAACATATGTTCACTTTAAAATAGTTCGTGATTGGCCGAGGTCGGCGAACAAACAATAATCCAATTATGTTGGTCCAGAGATCTTCTCAACAGTTCCCACACACAGTAGATTCCGAGGATTGTCTGAAATGTTTTGGTACCACAGTTAGTATATGAAGCCCGCGACTGACCGCTGCAAGCGTGAGCGAAATCAGAAGAGAGTCGAAGCACGTGACCACGCTTCGTGTGTGAAATGGTACCAGTGTGCGTTTTTGTAGTTTTTGGTATTCAAACAAAAAACGATTACGCAATTGATGAAATACGTATTGTTATAATGGAAGTAAAATAAAGGTGCAAAACGCCACACTACTCTCCAATTAGAGCGTTGACCATGAAAGGGAAAAATTGATTAAAATAACGTGTCAGTAGTTGCTCACTTATTGTTTCCTAATCAGCCAGGTGCTCAGGGAAGCGGACGCGTCGTCCGGAACGACTGGTGGAAGGAGTGAGGTTGGCGGGAGGGATATCTTGAGTTAGTGTGGGTGTTGTTGGGATAGCAGGATTGCTGGATGTGGTCGTGGGTACTTCAATGTAGGCAGGTTTCAGACGGTTGGGTAAATGGCCGGAGTCATAACGAGCAAAAGTGGAAATGGAGAAGGGATAATTCAAAATAGGAGAACGCGGCAAGTTTAGTCTCAGAAATATGGTGCAATCTGAGAACAAATAGATTGACTGGTCGCGCTGCTGTTGGGAAGGTGATGTGGTGAGTTTGGATGGGGACACAGGGGTGGTTGGATTCGAACGAGTAGTCTAATAGGTTGGAATTAATGTCATGATGGTCGTTGGGGTCAATGAAACGAGTAAGCAAGAGGGCACGGTTGAGAGGAGGAATGGAACAGTTGCGGGTGTGTTATCAAACTGAGTATGGCAGTGGCGTGCCATCATTGGCCTGACACGCTTCAGTTTTTTGACAGCCCCGCGACGGATGTCACATTTGAGAGGTATGCAGTTCATTGAGCAGCGGTATTTATTTCAGCCTGGTCGAGGAAACAAGCTCGAACGAAGCCGATATGGGACTGCAGGTTTTCTTGGTCCGTTTGGTGATCCCGGAGTTGTAGATCATAGGCCAGGTGGAGTGGAGATCAGCTAACCAGGTCGTCCAAAGCGGGCACTTCCGAAGTTTAAAGCTTGGGAAGGTGAGGGGATGGGAGGGATATAAAATGGGATAATATGCATTAATATACGCAGAGGGAAATACTTGGCGTCTGATGCGACTAGATGGATGACAAGTGATTACATGGAGTAGGAAGTAGGTAGATTTGTACTTAGTGGGCTAGCGACCAGGGCTGAGTTTGCTAACATGCGATATTACATTACAAGTGAGCTATTAAAAGCGGAAAGAAGCGCGCAGAACATGGTATGGGAATCAGATGTGTAAGGGCTGGCGGGGATGGTCTTCTAAGCTAACTGGCTAATCCGGTGTCTATTACATGAGTTGGATAATACCAGGAAAGCGTGTGCTCGAGAAATATTCACCAGTCCCCAGC